GTTCTGTGATTCTGTGATTCTGTGATGTGGATGGGGAAAAGAAAAGGAAAAAGAAAAAACAAAGGAGAAAATATTGATGCGTCTGTTTGAAAAAGTCCAGATATTGCATACTGACCTACATGTTTTAACTCCATTTTAAACTTTGAAGTCATGTCGAAATGCATGCTCTGGCATTTGTCTGATGTTTTTGAACTCCAGACTTAGCACTCCCTCAAATCTTAGAGATTAAAGCAAACTTTTGTCAATAGCAGAGTGACTAGCAAGGTGATTTTTAGACAGAAATGCTAGATTTCTAATTATCCACTTTACATCTGTGTCAGCTAAAACCTGTTTTGACATAGACCTTGCCAGTGGCTACTAATTTGTCTTTCAAGGTTGCACCTAGTCAGCAGCATGCTGGAGTGGGTGAGGGAGACTGTCTCCTGCTCATCTGTTTATAGCTCTGTCCTGAGCCTGGCTGGCATACTATGTCTCTGTGATGTTTTGCCTGATCTGAGGGAGAACTTGTGAAATATTAAGTAAATCTCACTGTATGAAAGCAATTCAGGTAGAAAGTGGGATTAAATGCAGCCCTCAGCTCAGAAGGTGAATGAGGATATATGGACCACAAGTTTCATTTTTGGCATCTAACTAAAGTATGTTTAACAGGAGCTGTACAGAAGAGCCCGTCTCCCAATGTGAAGGCCAAACAAGGAGAGACCTCATCTCCCCTCAGCTGGACTATGAAACGCTTCCTGGAGCCAGCAAGCCGGGTAAAAGGATTAGATGCAATAAAAACAGCTTCTACTGAAGCTCTTACTTGATCAAGGAGTTCGAAACCAAACCACTGTGCTCCTTCTCTGTCACATGGGCTCCAGAAAGGGTTTATTTCTTACATCACACATTTTAATCATGACAGCAGCAAGCTCCTGTTCATTTGTGTGGCTGCAGCCTTTGGGAGTGATGTGCAGAGCATGGCAGAGCTCCTGGCACCTCAGTGGCACCCCTGCTTTGTGGGACACACAGACCAAGTGATCTGGAGCCTCTGGGCAGAAGGCTGAGCACTTGGTCTCTCTATATAGCCATTGCAGTTTAAAAGTCTCTGGTTTTCCTGGGAAAGCCAATAAAGCAGTACAAACTGTGTCCAGAGGAGCAAACCCTTCCCTTCTCTCAGTGCAGGTGTATAATGTGAATTACAGAAGTGAATGGTTTAATCCCTTGTTTCTGTGTTGAACCACATCTGCAAAGCAGTGGGATTTGGAATCCTCTTCTATTTATTACACTTGCTAAAAATATATTGATGTGTAGCATTTCAGCCATCCAAATTTGACAGTTCAGCCCTCAATATACTGACAAGTCCTGTATTTTAAAAATTGGCTTGAAACTTCCTTTATTGACAAGGGTGATGTGAGTGAAGTTTGTGGTGCTTGCATGCAGACAGGGGCCTTATAAACATCGATGACAGCTGGTCACCAGGCTCACTTCTTTCAGCAGGGATCTGTCAGCTCTGAGGCAGAGCTTTCCCAATACTTCTCACACGATGGGACGAGCCAGCTCCCTTTTTCTGATACTGTAATCAGCTCCTGCGACGAGGAGCATCTCCGTCAGAGGAACAGAAACAGTTTGCTGGATGACGGCTCTCTTCTTCCTGGCAACCTGAGTAAGCAACGGAAATGTGTCTGGTCATTTGGCTAATGGGGGGGAGTCACTGAGCCCTGGTTTGCTTCACAGGAGTGCTACAGTCACTCCTGTGCTGGTAAGAAATGCCTGGCAGCGTAGTGTGAGCCAGTGCTGATCATGTGAAATTCTGGAAAATGAAAGGGGTTCACAACAATGCACATAAATGCCTGTTTCCATGGTATTTTGTCCAAATTGCTGCTCTGATTATGTGAAAATGACTTTATTTGATTGGTTTGACCGAAACTAGATTGACAGCACTGCAGGTTTTTTTTTTCAAATGATTGATGATCATCTGATTGATTACATTTAAATGAAAGTGTTCATAGGTATCTCAAATACACAATTTTAAAATGTCACATACAGCAGCGTAAAAACAATCAGATGTTCAATTTGACATCAGATGTTTTGCGTATGTGTCTTTGTCCCCATAGTAATTGACTGAAGGAATCTTACATTTCCTTAGTGACATGCACCTGATTTCAAATTCAAAGGATATTACATTTGTTCTCCCTTTCCTGTGCTTCTCAAGTATTGTCTTTGTCTACAGCTTATTTGTCTCTGGAAATTTATTATTTAATGCTTAAAAGCATTTTTACATTTTAAAAAGCCCACAAAACAAAGCAAAACCAAGCAAAAAATCCTCCCAAACTTTCTACAAAATAAGATGCAGTTCCTTCTAAGAAGGATGTGGAAAGGGTTGTCGTGTTTAGTCTTTAATTTGAAACTGGTTGTCGTGTGCTTAAGTCTTTGTTCAGGAAAGCATTTTTCACCCTCTATAAGTGGATGCAGGCAGTCCTGAGCGTACATTTAAGCAAAATGTGAAAGAAATTCTGTTGTTTAAAGTAAAATATATATGTAGATTTACATCCCTTTATTCTTCGGGTCATAGTCATAATTTAGAAATAACCTGAAAATAGAACCAGATGTGCCATGAGCTGATTTCAAGAATTACCCATAAATTGTGGAGCTGTCTGACATCCCTCTTGCTGTTTACTTTAGTTAGAGGGAGGACATGAAAAATCTCCTTTTTGCTTTATGAGGACAGGTTAAGCTTTCACTGCAAACAAAGCCACATGTACTCTGCTGCGGTCAGATGTGTGGTATTAAAAATCATTTATAAATGTAATTAAAGTATAATTTTTTTTTCTAGCTGCTAGAGAAGCGGGAGTGACAAAAGCAAATGGTCTGGCTTCTCCAACTAGTGGGAGATCATCCATCCTTCACAACAAGCATGTGGAGACTGTCCGACCTGGCATCCTCAGCGACAGCCCTAAATCTGCCCGCAGCCCCTTCCATCGACAGAGGAGGGTTGTTTTCTACGACGGTGACGTTAGTGATGATGACGAAAGTTCCCACGCACAAAGAAGCCAGAAGGCCAAGAGCCAGGAGGACGCTGGCATTGTCATTACAACCTCTTCTGTAGAAATAGATGATGAGAGCCAGGACAGTGAGTCACCTAGATATAGCAGCACAGAGACATCTTCCCCTGTCTTCAGCAACTCTGGGGGGTCTGCAGACAGCACGCTGGAGCAAATTGACTCTCCATTCTTCCCCATCATAGCATTCGATTACTCAAGTGTGCCTGAAGTTCGTCTTGGCAGCCTGAGTTTGAAGGAGCTCCGGGAAGCACAACTTGAATCTAAGAGGTCACCAAAACTTGAGCACAGAGCAGTCACGAGAGTGAAAAGCATGATGAGCACTGAGTGCCGAAGCCTTCAGAGACAGAGGATGGAGGAGCATGGCTCCTACAACAAACCTGTTGCGAGGGCACTCCCACACAGCAAGAAGTGTGAAGCACCCAACGAGACTGGGCAGGGCCAGGGTGAAGTCGTCACTCTGGTTCGTAATGAGCACGAGTCATTTGGCCTGGATTTGGAAATCCAGGCCATGCCCTTAAAGGTGGTTGTCACAGGACTGCGGCCAGGAGGACCAGCAGAAATGGTAACTCTTTTTTGAGTTGCCTTGTTTTGCTTTGCTTTCACTTTGCAGGGATTATTATTATTTTTGTTATTGTTGTTGTTGTTATTACTATTATTAAGCGAGTGATCTTTTGAGAGTAAGTGCAAGGGATGTGTTTGTCTCTACTGGGTAAAATGTCTCATCCCATATTGTTCTGAAGCGGCGGCTCTTTAATGAAGTGTTTCTGATTCAAAGCACACTCTTAGCTACTGAGATGGACTGATCCCCACTTACAGCCACAGTTTTGAGGGGATATTACTCCTTTCTTTTTTCCCTGTCTTTTTACCAAAGGTGAAGACAAAATAAGTAAATTCTGGTGGTAAAAATGTTTATTCATATGCATGTATTCCTGCGTTATACAAATCTGGCACAAGGAGGCCTTAGGTGCTAGCCAGGTTTGCCAAGTGCCATGGAAGTACCAGTAACATATTGCACTTCTGCATCTCAAACGGGCAGATACTAGTGTGGATGCTTGCTTCATGCTGGGTGTGGAATTGAAGACCTGGATGTAAAAGTGCAGAAAGAGGGAGGAGGATACTCCAGTGTACGAAACTGGATGTAGCATTTTTTATCTATTTAGTGGCCGCTAAGGTAAGAGAGGATGTGTTATAGCAGTTTGAATTGGGCTATGAGAGCTGGGGATTTGGGTTCTGTTCCTGACGTTTTCCTCTGATTTACTGTGCAGTGTTTAGAAACATACTTAGGCTTTTACCTTAACACCTCAGTCCCCGTCCAATTTAGTTATTTAGGAGAATCCCATTGGACCAATGGGAGATTGTGACCAGGAATATAACTCATACACGAATGCAAAAATGATAGAAGATGTTCCAGTCCTGAAGAAGCTAGGACTGAATCCATCTCATTCATTGAAATTAACAGGGCTGTGTCCTCTCTCCTGATACTGATCTCTCAGAGAACCCAGCAGCTCTTTTGACATTCCCGTTTTAGATTGATCACTAATTCCTCTCCTGGCAAAGCACAGTCTGCTCTTTATTTACGTGTTGGCAAACTGACAGCAGTGGCACCTGTGATCTGCAGTGACGTGAAATAGGGAACGTTGCTCGTAGGCTGTTAATTACTTCCCTGCAGTCTTTGCCCCTGTGGCAGGGCTTCTGAGGTGTATTTATAATTTTCTTCGATCTGTCATTGCACCAGGGATCAATGGGCAAGATGACTGTAGGGGACGAGATTACCACCATCAACAGTATCCCAGTCAGCAAGATGACGTACGAGGAAATCTGCTTGCTTATGCAGTGTCTTCCCACATCCGTAACCCTGGAGATCCAGAAAGCAGCACCAGGTGAGAGAGTGGTTTTGCTTTCCTACCATTTATTCTGAGTACCAGTGAGGAAAATTCCCTTGGATCAGCTGGGTCTGATCTGCTGCTGCTCCAGCTTCTTCCCCCATTGATTCAGAGGGAAAAACAGAGGGTACACGTGTTTGCATTGGTGAGACAGGCCTTTGCTTTACCAAACCAGGCCTCGGGGTCCTTCTTAGCACCATGATGAGGAGAGCAAACCTACTCCTGTGAGCAGTATTGGAAGTTCACACTTACACCTATGTCCCTCCTGACAGCATTTGCAGAAGCCTCAATCATTTCATGCAGACCTGGAGCTAACTCCTGCAGCAACCATGGGCAATAACGTGATAAAGCCTTTTTTCTTTCTTTCCCTTTCATGTGTCAGAATTCCCTAACGTGCAGAAAGATGAAACAGAACACCTAAGAAAATTAGAATCTTATAAAAATATTTATTTGCATGTTTCTTATAAAAAGTTTTCTAGTTTGAATTGAAATACTTGATACCTCCTTCGTTTTTGCTCAGGGCTGATTTATGCTGTTACAGCAATATATGCATCCCCACAGACTGTACAAATTATGTGGTGTGGAAATGAGTGTTTGAAAAAGAAAATTCAGGAAGAACATAATATTTTGAGTAGTTTTAGCTTATGATCTTCTTCGTGTACCTATTAATACCTGTGAGCCTAAAGTGTTTCCAGATGCTTGAGTGCCAGTTGTTCTTTAAGGAATTCCCGGCTTGGCAGTCTCCTGTTCTTGTTTCCTTGGATTGCTGTGGGTTTTGTGCAAACTAACAGCACTGGGGTAGGGGCCCACTGTCACTCCTTTATCAGGCAACTCTTCTGCTTTCCACTTCCCCTTGCCCTGCCCCACTATCAGAGCAGAGGATCTCTTCAGTGTGTGATCTAGCACGCTGAAGCAGGGCAGTACTCCAAGTCCTAACCTTGCTGCTTCAAATTGCTCCTCTGAGATGTCTTCCCCTTTGTTGACTCTAGGAGAAACCTGCACTTCTTAACATGGATACCTAAATTAAGTGGTGTTGGATAATCCCACAGGTTTGTGCAAGGATTAGAGGGATGTGCTGGCATGTTTGAATGAGCAGGAAAGGATGCTGGTTCTGGGAATACACCCCTCCTCCTCCATACACTTTCTGAGCCCCTTCTGGTAGTAACTGGCCTCTAGAAAGCAGCTTCAATGAGGGCGCATGTCCCAGAAGCAGTGTAGAAAGGTGTGAGCAGATGCTTAGGGTGAAGTGCTGAAAATTGAAGAGATTGAGAAATGGGTGAGCTCAGTGTGTTGCCCAAGAGCGGATTAAACATGTATTGTAAGTGAGGAAAGGTCTGTGCCAGAAATACTGTAAAGCCCATATGCTTAATACATGTATAACATCACCCATGCATGTCACATTAAACACCTGCAGAAGTGCCCACAGGATCAGAGTCATGTTATTTATGCACAGCTCCTCACTGTGTTATCTGTTCACCTTTGTGTGCTATGCCAGGGCTTTGTGTACTCTTTGCAATCTGTTGGAGACATCTTTGATCAAACAAGTGATGAAAAGTGGTCCTGCTCAGCCTGACTTACTGCACACTGACACTTTGGTAGTCTGTTGCTTGACTGTTGAAATTTCGAAGGTGAAAATTAAGCAGATCACGTCTACTCACCTTGGATGGGTAGATTGCTCTTCCTGTGTGCTACTCCAATACGGAGGGCTATGATTAATTCGAGTTGTTGTAAACATCATTACAGAAGGGGAGGAGTGGAAAGCAAAAGGAAAACATGTAGTTTGAATATTTGGGTGTCTATTTTTAAAATAAAACCGGGTATTTGATGTATCACTTTCTGTAACTGACAGGATTTTGCTTTTAATTTTTTTTAATTTATTTTTATCATGATGCAGCTGTCAGCAGATTTACAAACGTCATCCTGTCTCCAGGGGTAGACAGTCAAAATCAGGCCGATGTCAACAGCATCCTCGCACCTTGGAGCGCTGGGAAGCGAGAAGGAGCCGGTTTGCAAAACGCCGGTGGCGGCTGTGCGGTGGAGAGAGCAACACTGCCACCTGATGCCACCACAAGCAAAGACATGCAAAGAGGGACCACGAAAAGCGGCCGCGCCGAGGACTGCGCTGCCATCCCTGTCACGGATATCGATGACTTGCTCAACCAAATGGGTGCTCCTGAAAGCAGGGCTTCGCGCACCCCATCACGAGCGGAAAGCCCCCTTCGAGATGAGTACACCACCATGTGCTGCTGTGGGACGGACGAGGGCTGTCCGGGTTCTGAGCCACGGTCAGCCAAGGAGGAGCCGCTGGAAAAAGCTAAGAATTGTGGAGCAAATGCACAAGGGGTTTTGGGGCTGTCTGTGTTGGACTCCATTAACACAGGCAAACTTTTTACTGTGAATAAAAACTCTTTAAGTAACTATTCCAGAAATTTTAGCAGTTTACATGACGATGAGTTACCTACAGCAAACTCTCTGGAAAATAAGAGAAGTGACCCATTTCCAAAGTCGATGTATGGGGCTGCAGAGGATTCTCACTCGGACCCAGAGTCTGTCACAGAAACCTTTGATAGTACTAATGAGGTGTTAACTGGGATGTGCACTGCTGCTAACAGCCCTGCGGTATGTGCTGTAATGGAGTCGGATGAGGAGCAAATTGAGATTTGTTGCATGAATGATGAGCCTCAAAAGCCCTCTCAGGAGCAGCATCTCACATCTGCAACAAGCTCATCCTCTCTGTCCCCACTGCACCCTTACGGAGGCAAAGCTTTGCAAACTGAGGGCTGTGCAATGTGTGGGTCACTAGAGGCAAGCATCAGCAAACTAAGCTTGGAAGATCACAGTGGTCCCACTCCGTGTCCGTCACAGTGTTCGGATGTGTCCTCTGCATCCTTGTGTTCTCCTTCCTCAGCTTGCCTGCCAGAAAAGGACATCGTACATAATTCAGTCGATATCCCTGAAGTTTACTCTTTCTGTAACAATGGTGCCTTAAGTACAGAAGAACAGATGGGTTTGGGGAACAGTAATGGACCTATGAAATGCTGTGAATCCATTGAAGAAGATGGGTCTCCACACTGCAAAAAGATAAGCTTTTGCTCTGCTAAAAGTGTCAATGATGTGGAGAACAGCTTGCTTGAGAAAGAGGGATGTAATGATGAGCAGAGATCCAAATCTGAAAGTGAAACAGGGGTTGATGACTGTAATCATGCTGTTAGTTATTGCTTAGTGAAGAAAGAAACCAGCAGCTTGTCCAACTTGTCTAAAACAGACAACAATCATGTGAATGCATCATCACCAAGAGCAATATCACTCAGGTCTCCCTTTCCCACTAGATCTAAAGATCCAAAGGCTAACACAACTCATGACTTGCCAGGGAAAAATGAGAAAAATAATTCTGTGACTTCAGGAAGGACTTCAAATGGAAAAGTCCAAAGCTCAGGCACAAATCACTGCAAAGGAGCTGCAGTACCGCACAGCCCATCCTCACAGAAAAAATCCTGTCAGGAGTCTAAGGGAATGGCACAAAAATGTATAATGGATACCCTTTTAAATAATCAGAAGACCAAAGCAGGACCAAAGCTAAAAGGGTTCACCATCAAAAGCAAATCAAAGGCAAATTCAGATTCTTCTGGCATTAATCCTACCAAAGTCAGTGGGGCTGATCAGAAAAGGATTTCTCTTTCTCCACAGCTGTCCCCTAAACTCCTGGGAAAGAAAACACCATTGTCCCGTAATTCACCTACAAACCCAGATCCTGGCAAGAGCATTTCAGCAGCCTCAAAGATTCTGAAGTCAGAGCTAGAAAATAAACCATTGCTAGTCATTTCTGAAGATTCACTTCTACCTCTCCTGAATGGCACTGGCAGCCCAACAGCAAGCAGTGAGATGAAGTGTGGCTGTGGGGAGCTAACAGATGTGCAGCAGGCATGGGAAAAGCCAAAAGAAAAGCAAGTTTCCATGCAGCCTGCAGTGTGTCAGGATAAGGTTGCTAAGGTGGATGATTTCAGAGCCAGAGATTGTCAGTCCAAAGTCACTTCATCTCCTCAGGGGATACCAGAAGTTGAGTATGTGAAAGGGACAACTGAGAACCATGGAACAGGCTTGAACTCAATCAAGAGCATTTATAGTGCAGATGACCTTAGACAGTTAGATCTGAAAAACATAGAACCATCTGTTGGAGGTTCCTCTTCGCTGAGGT